AGTCTAGCTCACTTCTGTCCCATCCTCGCCCCTTCTTCTCCAACTACCATGAAACTATGTTTCTCCTATTTGAGCCGGCATGGTCGGGAACAATTTGTTGAAAGACTTTTCCGAAGGAATCTTCAGAAGATGTCTATTCAGAGAGCGGATCTGCTCTCATTTCTTAGCTGTTTGCTGTTTTTTTTTGTGGACCGATAATAGAAAAACCATGAAAAATTACTTGATCATCTTATTGCGCTTCACGTCCGTTAGTTTGATTATCACTTTGCTGATTTCATAGTGGCAAGTCAACTTCAGCATCATCGCATTTGCAGAGAAACGTGCTTCTTGCTTAATCGAATTCAACTTTATAGTCTCTGCGACGTCCTGTAATGAGCAGTCTTCAGATCAGTTAAACAGAAAGAACCACTGCTGATGTCCAACCTTCCTAGAAAAGCAGACGAGACATGGACTAGTGTCCATAAGCATAGTTTTCCATCCTAATCCAAGTCCGGTCATTTGACGATACCAGCCAGCGTGCCCTTCCTTTTCAATCCTGAAATAAGAAGAGCATAAAACTTCAAAAGGTATTCAATCAGTGAACATGACCTGACATAATTCGATTTCTAACGAGATTTTCAGCCTGACGCTATTTCAAACTAAAGCTTAAAAAAATTGAGCAACACAATCATTTCTATCTAATGATCATTAATTACGGGACTCTCTCTCCCAGGATCAGCCGCTGACAGCCGTAAGCCATATACAATCTATTCGCTGCGGACGCTGGGGCGTTTCGAGGGCGGGTTTGGCGCAGCGCCTGTCTGTTCTCCACCAATTATGAATCCAGAAGTTGGTGTAGAACAGGCTGACACAACGCCAAGCCGAAATGCCTCAGCAAACAGTACTGTATGTTTATTACACGGCTGCTTCATGCTACACTATGCGCACACCCATACACAATGATTGGAAGCATATCTCTTATCAAAATCTCTGACCTGCGCGAACACGAGTCTTGCGTCTTCCCTTAGCGCGGCTTAGAGGCAGTTGACACGATAAATCCCCCAAGACGACTAGGATCAATACTCCTGGATAGAATTCCGTGACCCTGGGCAGGAGCTGCATAGCGGTTTGCCCGAGGAAGATGCACTCCATTAAGAAGCCTAATCAAGCCACATACTTTACGTCCCACCAAAGCGCGCCGCCAGCACCCAACCGCCCCACAAATGGACGACAATTCCTGACGCATGTATTCATTCAATTGCTAAGGAAATTATGAAGGGAAGGGATTGGTATTAAGCGGCCGTGACGCTGCATGAATTATATAGTACATAACATATGCAGCCGTATCTTCGGTAGCGGTGATTGGTAAGATGCCTACGGGAAACTCGTCCGAAATCGATTTACAAGTCACTGAGAACGGAGGCTTTTTCTTCGCAGGATTTTGACCGTTTCACTCCGTTCTTTCGCCATTTCCCCACTATACAGCGCCCTACTAGCATTTTAGGCTAAGTAGGAAACCATTGTGTCAACAGCCTTTAAACGTCAAGAGCAGAAAAACCCATACAAACCTGGCAACTGTTGAACTTATCGCTTCAAGCTCAGCATCGCATACTGCCTGCATCTCTGACGAACTAAATAGACGTGAGGCATAGGTGGACAGTATATCTGCCAACTGCGCGGCATGATCCCCAAGACCTCTCGCAAGTGGCCATAGATCATTCCACAAAATCCGTAGCAACGTCATCTAAATCATACTTGGTTTCGGATACAGGTAAATTAAGATTCGCTCTTGTATGAGAACTAAATAACATGGAGACAAAGTATGAAAGAGCATTTGTTCCAACATAAAATACGACCTGTGTGCCGTATGACAACAAGGCTTCATCATTTCCTTTGATGGGACGCTTTCAATGAAAAACCAAAATTAAGATGGAAAGGCAATCAGGTTGGCCAGCCACAAAACATCCTTAGAAGGGAAATTTTACTGATTTCGGAAGAAAAAGTTTTGAAGAGTCCCTAAGGGGAAAAATTACGCGACAATCTTACCTGATTCTGACGGCTGGCTAATTGAATTGTTGATCTCAGTAAACCATGCATTAGCCATCTCCGGTTTTCATCGCGTCCGATCAAATAACGCACAAGCAACATCATCAAGAGACATCGATTCTTCTCGTCATATATTATCCTAAGAACAGTTTCTTAGAAGAAGCAACGTAGCAAAGGTGTCTATTCGTACTCATACAACGCAGGGTTCAATTTCTCGCAAACTCAAGTAAAGCTCCCATTTCAAAGAGAACTGTTTTCTAAGAAGATTTATACCGAGAATGAACAGAGTCTGGCCCATGCAAGGCGTACAGAATAGCAAGGCACTCCTTCAACGACCTTACGCCCTACGTCGTGACGCCTAGTGGCTTCTTTAGCACAGAGCTCCTACCTAATGCAGTACCTTACTTTAACCACCCAAGAATAAACGGAGTTTTCGAACACTTCCAATTTTTTCGATGCATTACTCTCAAATGGATTACTGCTACGTCTCCAGAAGCCGACCTAGTTGCTGAACAAGGATTATATTAGGTTGGCTAATAAGTAATGGCCGTTTTTTTCAATTGAAAAATTTGTTCGAAAAGTGAAAAGTTTTGCAAGCAAGTTATATATCATCTGATAGGAAACTTCTCGTAGTATAAGAATATCAAAAAAGCTTTGGTTGAGGATATAGTTTTTGTGAATTTTTTAGTCGTTGAAGTTGGAAGTCGGCGAAAATTAGCATCTTCGACAACTGCCTCTATTTAGAAATTTCATGCTAATAGTTGAATTAATTGAATTTGAATTTGATATTCTAATACTACGAGAAGTTTGCTATTAAATGATATTAAGCTTGCTTGCAGAACTTTTCACTTTTGAAACAAATTTTTCAATTGAACAAAACGGCCATTACCTATTTAGACACCTAATATTTGCTCCTCAAAGCAAGCGTATAGAAAGGGCTAAGTGCAGACTGGGAACAACTGCGTAGTCATGCTCTTTGTTCTCCTTTAAAGTCACTCAGGCATTTGAATACGAGTTACAACAAAACAAACTATGTACAATTGGTTGTTTTGAACCAGACGCTGATTTTGTTTTGTGTAATAAATCCCAGTGCTCTTGCACGCCTGACACGAATCAGTTGACGTAATATTCATGTTTTCGTTCTATTATCTTTTTTCGCGCGCCGACAGCGCTTCGATTGCGCGTTCGGAGGCGATCGAATGCGGTAGAAAGCATGGACATCGATCGCGTCGAACGCGCGACCGAAGCGCTGCCGTCTCGAAGTCTGAATGCTGCCCACGCTGATGATGAGCTTTCTTCAGAGAGAAACTGAACATCCTTCTCCGTAGATTATGGCCCTTGTCATGTGTGGGGCGAAACGGGTAACGCAGCCGGCAGCGAGCGCGCCTGAAAAGTGGAAACCTGGGTTTCGGCGGCTAAGGCGGTTAGGTGGTAGCGGGGCATTCTGTACCGTAGACGGGAGACGTCCTCGAACCCGCCGCTGCAGAAGTGGCGAAACCCGGTGGCCGTCTCCTGACGCCCGCCCAGGCTGACCGCGAAGCGCACCAACACGCCCAGCAGTAAGAAAGGCGCTACTTGTCTGCGCCCCGCCCCACCCAAGCTGTTCTCTATCTCTTACTGCGATTCTTCTGGAAAGTCGACCAAGTGCTACACTTGGTAAGTGGAGGTGGAGTGGGGAAACAACAACCGGGCAAAGAGGCACACTGCAACTTGCGCACCCATCCACCTCACACGCAGAAAGGACCGTCCTCGGAGGTGAGGGCACGATTTATCTCAAAACGACTGACCTCCCATAGACAAGGTGCAAGCACCTTGCTGCAAATTGAATAATACAAGACGAAAGAAGAAATCATTGCTCACTTACACGCCAAAGGATGTTTTTCACCCCTGTCGTCCAGGTGTTTCGCGAATTGCTGATACCAACAGGTCCACCACACTGCACGAGACAGCATCGGCTACCCGACATGCTAATTGCAGCAGCCAGTTTAGCTTAAAAGCAAGTAGTTAAAAGGTATTAGTTTAGTTAGTGAACCCACATGAAAAAAATTGTCGAGCTAGACAAACCTGCTCTTCGCAAATGCTCCTCCACAACGCTGTTCGCTGATTCGCAGTCACGGCAACTGCACTCACTATGTCGACCATTTCGGTGAGTTGCTGATGGTTGAAATTACTACAAAAGCTTCATTTCAGTGGGAAAAGCCGATCCTCTATGAAAAGTGTGGCCCGCACACAGTTGAGTACCATCTGGCGCCCCCACCAAACCGAACATATTTGGCTCTTTTTAGCAAGACCATGAAAAAGTTAAGTGTAGACTGGGAGTAACCACATAGTTGAGGCTATTCTGTTCTCCTTCAGTGATCTGCTATCCTGAATACGACCAAGGATGAAGAACTTGATTTCCTTCCCCTCCCTCATCTTCCGTAGGAGTCCAGTGAGGCCAACTACGAACAACGCAAGAGCGATTGAGCAAAGCGAAATTTCCACGGCGCAGTTCGATATTGTGAGGGCATCAGGTGGTACTCAGCTAAGCTTAACAGGCCACCTTTCGAAATTTTCATTTATAACTGAAATAAAAGTACTTTATTACACCATCCTGAGGAGAAGATGAGGATTTTCTGGTTGCTAAGAGCTGAGAATGGGCGCGTATAAAATAGCAGTATCTAATTGAACCAAGGACCGAGTTCTTTACCTGCTCTGGGTGTATTTCTTCTTCAGCAGCTCAATATGTGCTCGCATCATATGCTGATCGCGTACTTCACGATACTTCTGCTTGTCTCCATTAAACATCGCCAGCAGAACCTTTTTGCTCTGCCTGCGGAGTTGTGGAGCGTGTTGATAGGAGACCAGCTAAACTTGCTTCTTTTCTATGAAGTATTATTTTTTCAGAGAATGTCAGAGATGGTTTACGAGACGTTTCTATATTCAAAAGCCGACGAAAATACGATTCCAAATGAATAAGAAAGTGAAATCGTTTGTGGAAACCCCAAAAATTACTCTACGCTCCTTTCGGAGTAAAAACTACCTCGCAAAGGATTCGCTGCCATCTTTCGTCAAACTTCACATCGCTCAGAATTCGCCTCATCTGACAAGGTAATCGCAATGCAACATCAGTAATCATTGTGTAGTAGTGTTCGCGGGCATCCATAACCCCTGTTGCTCCTGAAACAACTGTAGCCTTGATGATTTCGATTTAGTGGTCTTATCATAGGAATAATAAAAATATTCCACCCATAAGTTGCCACTGTAGGCAGGGGGAAGGGTAGGCTTTTGTTTGCTTGCCCGGGAAAAGTGGTGAGGCATATCTTTACTGAATCATTTCTCGTCTCCCCCCCCAACTGTGAATTAGTGAACGTCTTCAGCAAAGAATAGTGCATTAATAAAACAATGAACAAACCGCTTGATATCCCTGATACAGAAGACTCGCTCGAGCTCGCCCCACCGTCGCGTGACCAGGCTCTGGGTGCTGCTCTGTGTTCTCTTGCTGTACGCCAATAACTAGCAACACTTTCCAGCAAATCACGACAGAACTCTAGCGCACCAGCATTGCAAAGCTGATTCACGATCTGAAGGAAGTTAAAGTGAAGCAGGCACGACAGGTCGATGGGCCACGATGACATCTCTGAGCATCTCCGGAATACAAACCTGTCCAAGCAGTTTCTCTGTACTGCGACGTTTTGTCGTTATCCGATCCTCCGAACTTACAGGAGTGGCTTCCCTTGAGCCATCCGCTGATGCCCCGAATTCCACTGAGACCGACGGCACAGAACTTGATGGTGATACTGTGTCTACATCTGGTAGCATGGTGGTACTCGAACTGGCTCGTTTATCTGAACCTAATGTATACTGTACAACGGAACCCTAACTTTTTGAGCTTTGCCCTTTTAAAAATTTTATTGTCTCTTGAAAGCTGTACGGCACATTTCCATTAAAGAAATAGGGCGGCCTCGTCAAGCGGGTCGTGATACAGGAAGGAGGCGACAACTCGATAACCGGGCGATTCGCCTAGTAGGAACTCAACAGGCAAAAAGAAGCAACAGCGCAAGCGCTATTGTCTGCACTTTCTACACCCAGGGAAATGTAAAGAGAACACTGTACATGTATGTTAGGTTGTCCGGAAAGTTCTCAGCGTTTTGGGTGTTTCACTTTAAACGATCATAACTTTCTTAATACTCATCGGATTTAATCGAAATAAGCACCATTCGAATCAGCACACTTTTGCCAATGTGACACCAGTCGATAAATCCCATCAAAAACTGGGTGGTAGAGAATCCACGAAGTCCATGTAGGCCTTTTTTGCCTGGTCCTGATTGATGAAGTATTTTCCAGCAAGGAAGTTCTGAAAATGTCTGAAAAGGTGATAGTCGGTTGGGGAAGTCTGGAGAATATCGCGGGTGATTAGAACTTCAACCCTAATTCGTCTCTATTTATGAATAGTGATTCTGTTGCAGCGTGGGCGGGCATGTGTCATGCAAAGAATCGGATCCTTTCTGTTGACAAGTACTGGCTGCAGCTGACACAATTTTCGGTATTTCGTCGATTTCTTCACAGTAGGACTCTGCTGTGATGGTTTGGCCTGGTGACAAAAAGTTATAGTGGATCACACCAGCCGATGACCACCACACTGTGACCATAATCTTTTTTGTGAGGATTCGGCTTGTAAATTGCCTCGGTGGTTCGTCGGCATCCAGCCACTGTCCGGGACGTCTCCTGTTATCAACAATGATCGCACTTTTCATCACAGGTGACAATTCGGCCCAAAACAGGTCGTTTCTGCTGCGCAAAAGCAATGCAGAAGGAACCTCGAGACGTGCCGATTCCTGCCGGTCACTCCGATTGTGGGGCACCCACTTATCGAGTTTTTTCACCTTCCCAATGCGTTTCAGACCATCCGCAACAGTGGATTTGCCAACGCCTAGCTTTTCTGCAATCTCTCGAACTGTTTGGGATGGGTCAGCCTCCAACGCCTTCAAATCCTGGTCAGGTAAGGTCGACCGCTACGAGGTTAATCTTCAGGGCTGAGATCTCCAAAACGAAATTTGTCGAACTATTGCCGCACGGTGCTTTCTCTAGCACTATTGGGCCCCCCACAGACTGATTAATTTGTTGAGCTGTCTCGATTGCGGATTGACCCAATTTTTAGTCGAAGAAAAATATCGTCCGAAGTTGCTCTTTTGACATGCTTCAAAAAGTCTTGGGAAAAGGGGGTTTATCAAGCAATGGTGAAACGGCAATATACCACCGATAGCACAAAGAATTCTCTTCAGGATGTACTACTGAGAAGCAAGGGAGAATGAGTTTTTAACCAGCAGTAAATGTACAAAATGATAAACAAAACGCTGAGAACTTTCCGGACAACCTAATAGAAAGACAGGGCTGATTTTTGTATGTAACAAAATTGCATAACATTTCAATCCTACCTTCAGTTTCCTTTTCGTTCTTCTTTCTATTCTCCAGATGCTCTCCACATTTTAGGAGCAGCACGAAAATAAGCCGAAATAGTAGGAATTGTCTGTAACCAATATTCTCAACAAAATAAAATTAAAAAAACACACTTCAAGGAATAGCAAGTATGCGTTCTTTCAAAATGACACGACTTCAGTTACAGCCTTCTCCGCTGCGGACGAAGGGGCGTATCAGGCAAGACGGGCTGAACGGCGCCAAACCCGTTTTCCGCCAGTTGGTGAAGCGAGAGCTACACGACTATATCATATCGTTCGCATGAGTCGTCTTCCACCAACTGTCGACGCTTAACCACTTCAACAACTGTTGCAGAGCGGGTATGGCGCCGCGCCAAACGCATGTCGGCTGCCACGCCCCTTCATTTGCGGCGGATAAGACGGTGCCTGTCCCTTATACCTGTAATTGTGATCGTTGATCTCTATTATGCTCGCTTTCCAATCAACCATGGCAATCAGCTGAACTACCGTAGGATAAAGATTCGCTGGATATAACTGCGCCATAAGGGCCATTGCAAATATTAGAAGAGAAGTTGATGGGACTGTGTCACCACGTCTGAAAGCAAAGGGAATGAACTGCGTAATGAATTCGAAAAATTCGGATTGAATCGATCCAACTCTTACCCCACAGGAACACCTTCAACGGGTAAGGAGCCGATAGACCCTTCGTCGCGGATCTTGGTCAAGACGGCTTGTAATAGATGGAGAAGCCATTCACTTTCTGAATAGATTATTGGAGAATATGGTGACTTATGACAGCCTACACTAAATTACAGCAACCTGCAAACATATGACGTACCCAAGTCAAACATGTCACTATTTCTTTGCGTAAGTACCTCCACTGGACACAGCGGCCCCATCAAGAATTCCAGCTGTACCGGATCATCTTCTGGACTGAAATTCTCGCCATCAACTGATACTGTTTCAGAGGCTACCGCAAAAGTTTTCGACCGACTCAAAAAATCAAGGAAAATATAGGTGATTATCATCAAAAACACCAAACGATGTATTGATCATATACGGAACAACAATAAACAATTCTCTGCCAATTTTAGCCTTCCAGACGAATCTTGAACCAGTTCACCGGCCACGTAGGAAAGAACGCTTGGCTGACTTGGGAGGGGGAGGGGGCCGATCCGGGGCTTGGCCCTTATACCGCGCCAGCGGTAAGCGGGCCCGATGCCACTACACCACCCAAAATGAATCGATGCTTCATTTTCAAAGTGGGCTGAAAAACCGTTCAAAAATGCTGGCTGTGCAAACTGCTTAGATAAGCCGCTCAAACGGCTCCGTGGAAAAATGAACTAATCATGGTT